AAAAAAAAAAAAAAGGAATATATTGGAGGGATAGAAATTCCTCTTGTTCTCATGACAGTGCTTTTCGAACATTCACCACTTGTATGCAACAAATTTTTCCTTAAAATTTTTCAAGTGCAACGTTTCCTTCATTTTTTCCAGAAATGCCGACGTGTTGGAGTTGATCCTTTCTGGGGCGTCCACTGGCCCTATGGTGGCGCTGCTAACGTTGTACTTGTCTAGGTGTTCCTTCGCAATTACGTATTTGCCGTCCTGTCAGTGGAAGAAGGGTGTGAGGGGGGGGGGGGGGGTGCGCAGATGGGTATGCACACGTAGGTGTACTCATATGTATGTACGTATGTATGCATGCACGTGGACATATGTGTGTGGAGCACCATGAGGCAGGTGTGACCCCGCGTGTACTTCCTCTTTGCGTCCTTTTCAGCCTTTCAAAGAACCTGTATCATCATGTGTGGTCCATCCGGTCGGTTGCACTCGCGGAAAAGGAAAAACTCCTTTGCGCAAGCTGTGGGATCAGGGGTCCTAATAAATTGGGGCCAAAAAAAAAAAAAAACAAACGAATTAATATCTATTTGACATAATTTGTCCCCCTTTGCATTTCTGGTTAGAAGAAACAAAATGTTCGTTAGGAAAATTCTATTACACGTCATGCGTCTGTCAGCGTATGGGTTCCCCATTTCGACAGATCACATTCTGTGGACAGCATAAAAATACCTGGAGCAATCCATAAGGTTGTTAATCTCGTCAATGCAGTAGGATTCCCCTGTCCTGTGGTGGGCGTAACGAAGAGAAGAATGATGAGTGATCGTTGGAGGTAGGTTGTCACACTGGGCGATATGATATGTGCATATGAGGGGAGATACACATAGACCTATTCATTAGGCTTAGGAAGCCAGTTTTAACGTTAATGGGGAGGGCAAGGTGTGTCATCGCCTTCTCTCTCTAGCCACCCTTCTATCGTCGTTTCTATCCCTCTTTGTTAACTTTCTTTGCCCCTTTAGGGAAAACGCTAACGAGGTCTTCCACTTTTGAACTCGGTCCGAAAGAGAAGACCCCACCCACCCCACGATGTGAATAAATATACATATATATACGAACATATGTGCATATATTTATTTGTGTGTGCTTACGTTTGGGAGCATTCCCTGAGCTCGGCTTCCACGCCCCTGCATTTCTCGGGGTTCCTCTTGCTGCTATTCAAGCACGTGTAATAGTTTAATTTTATCTCTTCACATTTTTTTTTGTTCATTTTAAAAGGTTGCCTTATTTTATTTTGGTGTATAACTGGTTGGTCTACTGGAAATGGCGCTGCGCTGAGATGCGCTATGGTGTGATACGATCTGATACGATGCTTTACGGGGTTGCACACAGATTTGGACTAGCCCCTTTGTGAGGTGATGCGTGCAGCGTGTTGGGCAATCGTTCGTTGTTGATGGTGGGGGTGTTAACCCTGTTCTTCCGTTTTTGTTTCCCTAGCGGTTGGTGTGATATGCCGTCGCTTCACCTGTTCGACTGCTCGTTCCCTCATGCAATTTAGTTCTTCTCACGGCTTAATGATGATGATTAGGGGACTCCCTATCACAATGAGTGCGGATTGCAAACGTTATTTTTATTTTATTTTTTGATTCCAAATCGCGCTTCTTGTGTTAAGGTACCATTATCACGTGCGTTCTACTCTTACAAAACTTATCACACAAATGTTTACACTTACTGCCATACATTTATGGATACGCCGCGTTCACACCAATGCATTTTTTTCTCTCTATATATTTTGCGACAAGTTTTGAAGCAATTATTTTCGTTATTGTATATTGGATGAGGTGGCTTAAACAAAATTTGTTTTCTTTTTTTTTTTTTTTCCCGAAATGGCTTTTCATTTTTCGGGTCGTGTTTTGAGTAGTGGTTCCCCTTTCGCATTTTTTTTTTTTTTTTTTTGTTTTTGTTGCAGGTTGCTTTGCATACATAAAACACATTTTAACAAAAAATATTTGTGCATCATGCGTAGAGGTGACGTTAAAAAAAAAAAAATATATATACAAATTTACACGAATTCGAATTATGGCTTGTGAAGAGAAGAAACTCCGTTCAGCGTGGTACGCAAATGGAGGCAAATTTAATAGGAGCCAAAACGTACACAAAAGGGTACTGCCCTTGACTGTCCTTAGTTTTTTCGTTCTTGAAATTTTCCGATTATTCCAGGGATACGACCCTTCCTTAGCAGATCTTCATACTCGGCACATTTGGTCTAAAAAAAGGAGGTCATTTGGAAGCATAATTTAGCGCTCCACTTATTATGTATGGATCGCATTTAATTGAAAAGAAGTATTATTGAATAATCGTTCAAAGGATTACCCTGACTCCTCCAACTAGCTTATCCTTCCACGGCTCAGTATTCTCAACAACCTTCTGCTTGACTTTATCCTTCTTACTGGTTTTACAGACTTTTCCATCCGTCCTTTGTCCCTTTCCCTTGAATTTCTACAGAGGGATAAGCGTCCATTTGTGTTGTTTGCACATGTACACACACAGCAAAGGAGGGCAAGGGCTCAAAATGTTACGCGAAACGGCCATATGGACATCCCTTATTAATGCTAAATGGAGTCCCCATAGCAGTGCCGTGAATCCCCTTTATAGTTTAGGTATTTTTATTTTATTTTTTTCCACTTACGCTTTCTTCCTCGGGCACGGGCTCCTCTACATATTGCACACCTGTGATGCGAGTGAATGTAAAAGTATGTAGCGCTGCTACCTTAAAATGGATGCAGAAATAAATATAAACGTTGCTACATGCAAGTGTGATTACTTTGGGCGTAGTCCACTGGCTCTTCAAATTCAACCTCGACGTCCGTTTCGATAATAGTGCAAGCGAAGGCGGGTTTCAAATCCTGTGTGCAGAAGAAAAGGTGCGTAAAAATTGTTGTGTATATGCATATGCGACGCACGGGACGGATTGTTAAGAATCGGTCCATCCACGCACACACGTTTGGACCATTCCAGGTCGCTCCTAAAAAAAAAAAAAAAAAACTGTACCACAATCTTTATCTCGTATGTCTTTCCCAAGTAGTGAATTACGATATTGTCGCCAATGGTGAGGGTGGCGTAATTCCGCAGGGCTGTTTCAAGGCTGAATGGGGATAAAAGAAAAAAAAAACAAAAAGGACACCGTTTCGCCTATTTTAGCCAAATCAATCACGCACAAATATATTCTCTAAAGGTAGCAACAAACACATTTGCGTGTTGACGAGGGGACGGGGGGGAGGTACCCCCCTTGGCCCTGAACCCATGTAACTGTACACAGCTCTGTGGTTGGAGAGTTCCATAAAATCCGTCGAACACGGCTTCAGTTTAACAAATGTGCCTTTGGGTAGGCTAACGCTGGTGACTCGCACGATGTCTCCTTCTTTCAGGCACAACTGCTGCATCATCTGCGAAGGGAGGACGCGGACGAGGTGTCGTTTACACGCATCTACATAGGTACACTATTCATGTGTGCTCTATTAAATTTGCGCGCTGGCGAGCGCATCGTTTTCCCTTGCGACTGCTTCCCTTACCCAGTATGGCATGTGGCACGTCCCCTCGTCTGAAATAAACTCCAGAACCCCACTGTGTGTGCGTTTCTCCTGTAAAACAATTTGGAACACATAAATTTGGTTGTCCGTGAGTAACTCTCAAATGAGGTATGTCGAAAGGAGTTTTCCTCCTGTTACACTTGGGGTCATCATTCAACTGGTTTCATTTGATAGAAAGCCCTTCAGGGAAAAAATGACTCTTACCGTGTACGGGTTAGAAACTTCGAACAACATTGGCCATGAAATGTGCCTCCTAGCTAGGGCATTTAGAGCAGTCTGTGGAAGTATAACTTTAGGGTAGAGAAACGAAAGAAAAGATGAATTTATTCGAATGTGTAAAAGTGGCACGATATGGCGGATAAATTAAACATGCCCCTCACACCTTTAATCATTTTCAACACGTATAATCCGTTTAAAGCGGTTCATCCAATTCGTTTATCATATATGCACATGAGCTGTGCTTGACGAAGTGGGTTGAGCTGGCAGTGTCCATCTAGCAGCAGCACTGCTACGTAAGCACTATGAGCACAAAATAGATGTTACTTTTGTTTCCATTTTCCATGTCATCTTTCCCAATGAATGACACAGGATAGCAGGTGTATTCTTCCGTGAAGGGTTCGGATATGTTTAAAAAGTCTCTTCCCAGGAAATTATTAAAATTTGTAAAACTCCACTGCAGAAAGGAGAATAAAGACAATTTTTTCCTTAACCTTTTTTTTTTTTTGTTTTCTTTTTTGCAATTTTATATATACATATTATACGTGTTAATGTCTCAATATTTACCATAGTTAACAAGATAATTGTGAAAAAAAAGCGGGGGCCAAAAAAACGTTGAAGATGTTTTTTCTTTCCTTTTTCGTATTTTATTTTGTGAAATGTTATGTAATCATTTGGCTGGGAAGACTTCTTCAAATTTGTGCGGTCAGAGGGGGTGTTTTCCTGTTTGGCTGTTATGCCGGTTGATTATTAACCTAGTGGACTGTTCACCCTGTGCTAGTGCTTCCCCCCTCATTGACCAATCCTTTGGTCAAACAATCTACTGACTGGCTGCGAGAAAAACAGTCATATCTCGGCAAGGAAGGCGAATTCCCTTGCCGACGTAGAAAACTGCTATTATCTGTTGGCAAGCAGAGTCACACTTCGGAATTGGCGATGTAGCTGACCGTGCGCTGGGCATGCATATAAATGCATACGTTCGCATATACGTTTTTTTTAATTTCCTTTTTGTATAGGTCTTTCTGCGCAAAAGCAATTTTAAGTCTCCGAAATTAATGGGAGCGGACCCCTATAAATCCTTCGTGTTATATCTGCAGTTTTGTTTTGAGTTACATTTTTTTTTTTTTTGTCATATTAAAAAGTTGAAATATGGAATGTCATACATTGGTATTTGCTACAACGATTGGCAATATATATATATTTTTTTTTTTTTTTTTTGCGTGCAGAAGAAATTTACGCATTTTTCTCCATTAAAAAAATTTTTGTTTTTTTCGCCAATTTTGTTTCGAAATGGCATGTGCGGGTTGGAAACTTTTACAAGTGTCATTCCAACTGTCTGCACGGAGGAAGAAAAGTACGCGTATTTGCCCTGGAACAGTGTGATGGTTTTGCAGCACTTTTTGGAAGGACACACTCCTATGCCAATGTAAGCGTGCCAACTACTGTCAACGTACTATAAAAGTACCAACTTGCCAACACCTTTATCTCCACAATTTTTTGTGGACAAACGCGGAGGCGGAAAGCTCTCCGAATATTTTGCCTCCACTGTGGATGCAGTGCGGGGTTTTTTCCCCAAATTGTGCGAAATGTGTTTATTAAAAAAAAAAAAAAAAAAAAAAATCTTGTTAAAGTGTCTTTTTAAAAGGTGTTTATTTTTTAGCATGTCATGGTGAGGAGTTTTCCACCCACCGTCACTTCTTCAGGAATCACTATCCTAGTATAAGCAGCCCTTTGGATGTCTCTCACGTGTGTGGAGTAGCCCCTCGTGTGACGTGATTCCCCCCATGACGGTCATATCTGTCGGGGTTAAACCAAATTATAGAAGAGCAACAGGTGATCATAACGGGGGGGAGAGCTCTTAAAAAAGGTGTTCGTACAAAGGGAGTTTTTTTTTTGGGAGGGAAGCGCACATTGGTGTAAAATTACAGCGCGCTTCCCTCGGGTGCACCTTTGTGATGCCCACTGAATCAGCTCTTCTGGAGCGCCTCGTAAGAAAAGTCGATAACGACAGAGGAAAAGTGTTTAATAAAGTCGTTGTAAAAGTTAGGCTTGAAAATCTTGACCTTGTCTACCTGTAGAACCAAACCGGCGTTGTAGTAGATGCTGTAAAAGTTGGACACGGTGAGGTTGCTCAGAATGTTTGAGTTCAGATCTTGCATCTTTTTGGTGACGGGGTTCATGCTAACGATTACTAAGTTTATTTCAAAGTCGTAAAATCTGGTGTGGAGATTTTGAGAAAGTTCTAGTCGCTGAAAATAGTCCTTAAATAAGATGAGGAGGTACTCCTTGATGGAAACAATAAAGGTGCTGGAAGGGACGTTGTTGATAATAATTTTTGGGGCTGTTGGATCTCTGAAGAGGTTGTTATTTTCCAGTGGCTTTAGCTGTAGGTACATGACGACTTGGAAGTTGTTTTGGCTTAAGTCAACGATGGAGGGATACCAGCTTAGGTACATCTCGGGCATGTTGCTCTCCTCGAGGCTGCTGCTGCCATTGCTACTAACACGATCATGGCTACCATCGCTTTCCCGACTACCGCTACCCCCCTGATCATCCTTCTTCACCACTTGGAGGAAAAAATCGGACGACTTGGAGTACCTCAGCACACTGTCGTACACGTCTTCGATAGAGGCCTCTGGCTTTATTTCGAATACATCCTTTTGGTCCAGGATGTATATGAGCTTATAAAAGGAGGACACCTCATTGTACTTCACACCGTGGATGTGATGTCTGGCCTTGGACAGCTCATTGATGAAAGTGGACACAGTCATATCTCTATATACGTTTTTCACAAACACATGTGTGCCATCCGAATTGTGAAGAAAGAACTCCACAAAATGTTGTTCATGTAAATTTTGGAAGGAATGTACTTGGGTTATGTCGAAAGATTCTACTCCTCCTATTTGAAACCCGTAATAATTATCTAGCTTGTTGTTGTGATTCAGATCGAAGTAAATGCTAAACCCATAAGATAGCAAGCACTGAATATGTGGCACGCTATTCTTTAGCCCTTTCTTAAAACTGATTCCTTTTTTATCAATATGGGTTAATTCGAACAGCTTATAAAGGTAAGGCGACAAGTTAATATGGCACAGAATATTTTGGAGAAGAATTTTTTCATTCACTCTAAAGTCGATGTATGGCAGCATCAACGTGTTGTTGTAGTTATCTCGGATGACCACCGAGTTGGCCATAAAACCTAAAACACTACTCCTCCAGAATATGGACGACGTGTTGAGAGCTGATATCATATCGGTACATTCCTCCATGTCTTCCTCATTTTCTAACTGTTGGCATTCTATGTTTAATTCGGAGTTTGCCAAATCTTTGATTGTGTCAATGTACTTCACATCTTTTCTTTTGACCCGCATGATAAGTCTCATTTTCTCCTTTTTGCTTTCTCCCTTGAGGGAATTATTCAAAATGGGGTCGCTCTTTTTCAACGCAATCTGTGTATGATCATACAGATCCTCCTCATTAAACCTATCATCGTAGGAACAACCGAAGAGATCCAAGTACGTCTTCCCTATCAGTTTGAAAAAATTATATTGTACTATGGTGAGTGTAAATGCGGGGGTTAAGTAACTTGGGAACCCATACAGGGTTGTGGAATTGTTGTGAAAACCGCTAATGCTCGTTTTTAGAGAGATGTATTTTGTCTCATAGTTTATCATAGCGGGCATGTAGATAAGTCTGGAATTTAAATAATCGTGTATTGCATTATGTTCCGATTTAAAAATGAAGGTGATTTTTCCTTCTTCGTTTAGTTGGTCCTTAAACGTCATTTTGCCCTTCTTATCTTCCAGGTTGTTTTCCTCTTGCTTGTCTTTCCCCTGCTCATTATCGTTATACATGGAAGTGCTGCCAACAAAGGTGAACAAGTCATTCCACTTGTAACTTTTCGAAGTTATAGATTGAAATATTGTTCTCAACAGTTCTTCTATTTCCATGTTCATGTTGAAATTTTTTACTCGAACAGTTCTGTGGACATTTGGGAAATGAATATTCACATCGATGTTCATTAGTACATCAGAGTTATTGTTCTTCTTGTTGGCCTTGCTACTGATGCTTCTATTCGCTTTGGTATCGCTATAATATTGAGACTTTTCAAAATTGAATTCGAAGTGGCACATTTGGCTGTAAAAATTTTCATGGGACTCGACTGTAGACAAGTAAATGATTTTCTTCATGGCGATGTGGTATGACAAAGATGCAACGAAGGAGAGCTGCTTCTGCTCCAAGTGGACATACACAGGTTCACAATTAGGGTATAAACACACGGACGTATTGTCATTCATAAATTTAATCACTTCTGATTTTTTTGTTAAGTAATTTAGCAGATACGTTATCAAACTGTCCTCCGTAATGCCGAATGGAATATTTTTCAATTTCACGTTTTGCAAATGTCTTCCTTTTTTTATGTACAGAGGTATGCTCCTCTTCACAAAGGTGTCATTCTTTATGTCCATAACGGTATCGTGGAGAATTAAATGGACGAGGTTTAGAAATTCATCCTTCTCCGATACAGCCACGATGGAGGGTGCATCAGTAAAGTAGTAATTAATTACATATTCCATGTTCAGTTCCTCGGGTATGGTTATATAAGATTCGTTAAACATAATTCTAAGTTCTAGATTGTCCACATTTTTCACCTTCGTTTCTTCTTTCAACTTGGTCTTAACGTGGGCCAGTACATCCGCCACGGTGTAATTTTTCGGAATGTTACAAATTCTGGAAGCGCCAAAAAGATGTTTCTCGTAAAGTCCCGCGTTGTACTCAAAGCAGACAACTGAGAGGTCTAGCTTTTTATTGTCAATTTCGTCTGCCACAAGTTTTCTTCTTAACTCCTTTATCACTATACTTCCTCTGTCTCTGCTCTCCAGGTTTTCCTTCTTCCACTTATTAGCTGTATCATGGCCCATAATCTCAATGTGAAGTGTGCATGGATCTCCAGATTTACACATTTTAAAAATTTCACTGATGGTTCTTCCATACCGTATGATATCTTTGTAATCATTTAAGACGTACTTTTCGCTTCCTTTAATGAGGTAGAAGTTGACATATTTGTAGATCCATTTTCGTTGGTAGCCAATGGCAAATCGTAGAAATTCTGTAATATACATATTGTGTGGAATGTTTAGAACAGTTAAAACTCTTTTTTTATTTTTATTAAACATGAGATTAAAGGTGAGAGTACCTTTTTCCTCACTTACGTTTATCACGGTGTTTTTTTCAGATTTAAAGTCATACTTTCTACCTGCTACATTTCTGAATATATCATCTAGTGGGTTAAATAGGGGTTTGTGGACTATGTACAATTTTGTTCTGTCCAAATTGATAAGTTCTGTGAGCTCACCTATAAATACGACATTTTGCTCTACAATAGTTTTTGTCTTCATCAAAATAAAGGACTCTTCGTTTAGGAGCAGAAATTCGTCTACCAATTTTTTCGTGTTAATATGATTGGCCTTTATCAGTAGGAAGTTTATAATGTCCTTATTCGTTGCGCTCAAGGGGACGTTAAAAATGACCACCGGTTTGTAGGCCACCCCATCATACACGTAAATCGAAAGGGTGTATCCACTCACGGAGATATTATTATAATCGATGTAGTCCTTTACTAGGATCTCCCTCAAGACAGTGTCATACAGCTGAGCCGTTTTCAATTCTGCATCGGAAAAGTTGATGATATCTACTTCGGATATTTTGTCCAAATCGACGTAATTCTTTTTGGAACGTTTGTCGTCATGTTTTTTTTTGCCTAATGAAATGAAGGTACGCAACTGGGCGCCCTCCCCAGAATTGATGTACTTTCTCACATCCGTTATTTCGTCGTTGTCCACATAAAGCGAAAATTTAATCTTTTCATCCTTTGGCAATTTTTGCCATTTGGAATACATATCCAGCAGTATAGACTTGAGGAGCTTATCTGTGGTTATTTTCTCTGGTACATTAATAATGTGTGTAATTTTTTTTTCATTTTTGTAATTAACGTAAAAGCTTAGAGACCCAATAGGGTTGTTAAAGTCGATCACGGAGGGTAAGGAATCAAGAGGAAACATCATATATGAGTCGAAGTGTTCGCTATTCCGAATGTGGTTCAGGTGATCTGGATATGCCTTCATCAACAGTAGGTTGTCCTTTTCTATAATTTTTAACACTTCTTCTATGGTATACCCAGGGATGGAACTAAAGTAGTAGTCGTGGTTCCTCACCCTTTCCTTATCCCTAGGTACGATTACAAATAAATTATACAACTTTTCTTTTTCTTCCACGGGGATGTTGAAGGATCCTCTCATCAGGATGTTGATAAATTTCCACACCAATAAGGCGAGGGGCACATTCTTTACTGATATCTTTTTGGAGTTGTTCCCTAGGTACAGTTCCAAATTTTTGGTCTTCTTAGACGATTTTTTCACTTCAAGGAGTGGGTTATCGATTGAGTCCTTCCCACTCAGTTCTAACAGCGACGCCAGAACGGTCTCCATCATTCTGCTCGCACTGAATCTTATCTTGTAGAACCTGCTGAGCATGTTGAGGAGGAAGAGGAAGGCTATTTTTTTACCCCCTCCTTTGGATTCTTCCTCGTCTTCGATGTACACTTCTGAGTTTTCTCCGCTACTCAGTTGTCCATTACCCAATTGACCGCTGCTCAGTTGGCAGTTTACAGAATGAGCGCTCTCCGGTTCCGTGCTGTCCACTTTATAACTACCCCCCACCGGGTGCCTCCTGCTATACACAAAGAAAAACTCGCGCAAAAAGGAGTCCGATATGAACGCATTCGTATTTCTCAGAATCAGGTGCTTGAAATTGTTGGAGTCAATGTATAGTGACAGATTGTGCAAGGTATACGGACTAAAATTATAATTGATGTAAATGTCTAGCTTCTTTATATAGATGTTGCTATCGGCTAAATCAATTTCCAAATTAGCTAAAGTCTGGAAATTATTTTTAGTCAAAAATTTTTTCTTAATAAAAAGTGTGTACAAATCATTGTGGTTCATTTTTAACTCACTCATGGTTAAGTTGTCATCCACATTTTCCCACTGCTTTTCCCGGATGGTAAAAATTTGTAAATCCTTAAGCGTATTTATGTTGAAGGAAATCAATTTAGAGTTAATTATATTCTTCACCATATTACACAAGTCCAATGCGGTCAAATTTTCTGGAACATTCATCAGAGTTAATCTGTCATGATAAAAGTAGGACTGTTCGTCCAAATAAAAAATTGGTATTTCCAGATGTATAATTTTGGAATCCTTCAAATTTATAGATTGTGGAATTTTTACATTTTTTAAATTGTCCACGTCTTCACAATCTTCAGTTCTCTTATTTCGAATGAGCAAATGTTCATCCTTCTCGTTCAGGTGCTTCAAAATTTCATACAATGTAACCGATTTGTCGTAAACGATGGAACTAATAACGTTCGTATTTCTGTTAAAGGAGAAGTATTCCAAGCAAGTGTATATGTCCAGGATTGACATACCCTTTTTGTACGAGTTGGTGTTTATAAATGTGGACGGCACATGAACAATTTTGTTCATAAGGTCCACTGCAAATAGATTCAAGTTATACGTTTTTTGTATTGGTGCGTTGTAGATGTTCACTTTTCGATTTGGGTTGTCCAAGTAAATTTCAAAAAAGTTGTAATAACTTCCTTTTCTGTATAACTCTTCATCTTCCAAAATGGTTATTTCTTTGTTTATGTACTCGATTTCGTTTTCTTCGTAATCTCGTGATGGGATTTTCTCATCCGGTACAATATTTTTACTGGCCTTGTTTAGTATAATTTCCCTTGCCCCTGTTGCAGTGTCTTCTCTGGGCAGTCTGCCTGCCTTGTCGTAGCCAATTTGGGTTTCCGCTTCATCGGTCACCTCTGATGCCGCGAGCGCTTGCACAAAATATTCCTCCCCGAGGTCTAGTTCCTCACCGTCTATATTCGACTCGTACAAGTAGTCGAAGCTTTTGGGTTTTATACTGTCCATGTCTTTTTCATCAACAGAAGCAATCACGATTTTTCGCTCTATCGATTTGCTATAGTTGTACAAATCTTGCACATTCCTGATGGAGTGGGGAATTTCCTGAAATTTGCTTGGGTCGTAAAAATCGACTTCCTTCGGGACAAGGAAAAAACTAAATTGATCTATCGACTTGTCTGTAATGTTGCTGATTCCTAGGATGCTCATCTTGAGCATGTCCAAATTGCAGTTAACGTCTGATGTGACATGGATGGTGTTCTTTGAAATTTTCCCATCTTCGATATAGTATATAGGTATATTGTGAACGGAGAAATATTTTTCCATGTACTTTTTCACTGTTTCGTTAATGGTGTCCACTCCTTCATCTCCATCAATGGAAATGGATTCGTACTTATCATTACTGTCGTCCACGTCTTCCTTCTCCTCCTTGGGCTCTTTCTTTTTTATAATAATTTCTATGACTTCTCCTCCTTTTATTATCCTTTTGTCGACGACCACATTACTTAAGTTGTCTTTGATCACGTTCATATCCTCCTTGGAGAGCAGGCTTCCATAATTCGATAGGATTTTCAAGAAATCCGCATTGCGTTCTTGTTGGCCCTTTTCTCTCTCTACTCCCTTTACACTGAGGGTAATATCCGTTGATTTGTCTGTTGCTTTGTTCGTTGATTTTGTTTCTTCGCCTTCCGTCTCTCCACCCAGCATAGGCTTCGTCTCCTGTGCATTCGGCTTCAACTTATCCGCCTTTTGATTCAGCTTTGCCTTTTTCAGCTTGTCCACTTTTTTCTTCGCCTTTCCTGACTTGTGCTTGTCCTGTTTTTCTTCGCCCTTTTCCTGTTTTTCTTCGCCCTTTTCCTGTTTTTCTTCCCCTTTTTCTTGATCTGCTTTGCCTTTGTCCTGGTCTGCTTCGCTCTTCTGTTGGTCTGCTTCACCTTTCTGCACGCTCCCATTATGGTTCTCCTTCTCCCCGTGTGCGGATCCCTCCCTGTCCGTTCCCACTCCTTCTGCTTCCTTCTGCTGTTGCTCTTGCCTTGCTTGATCTGGGTCGTCCGATCGACAGTTTCCGTCACCAGTCTCGTCCGCCGTGTCATATGACGCCTCCTCCACCGCTTCCTCTCTCGGGAACGTGTCCCCCTCCTGGGTGTCCCCCTTCTCGTTGCGTCTCACAACCCCATCGGAGGGTCCATCCTCCCTTTCCTGGTGTATCTCTCTGATGATGTCCTCGAGCAGGATGTAATTTTCATCTGGCCCAATAAAATAAATGGCCATATTGTGTATGTCAAAAACGGAGTGCCTAAACATGTTTATCGACCCAGCATGATGGGCCTTGACTTTTCCAAAATCCATGTCGAACCCGGTTAGCTCTGCATCATCCTCTTCATCATTTTCGACCACCGGGGTCATCTGCACTAGCGATTCCTTAATTTTATAATCTACATCTTTAAAAATTTTGCTGAAAAAATTTTTGTATAAAAAGAGGATTTTCCCCTTGTTGTACGCAACGTCCAAATTAGGCGTTTTCAAAAACGCATTTACAACTGTCCTCTTCCTTGTAAAAAATGTGGTCTTATATAAAAACCTCAAGTTCAGGAGGAAGATTTCTTCTTCCTTCTTGTTTTCATTACTGTCTTTATTATGGACAGTGCTGTAATACAGGTCCTTAAAATAATTAATGTGCTTCTCATTGTTTAGCATTTCTCCTAAATCGTAAATAATGCTATCATATGGGGTGGCATCTTCCTCTGTTTCCGCTTCGAGATTTTCACCCGTTACATCATTTTTTCCCTTTCGTTTTAGGTCGCTCGTAGTACCTGCTTCGCCATCTTTTTCTTGGCCTTTTTCTGTCGTTCCATTGTTATTCTTACCTATGTGAGGGTCGTTCCTTTGTTTGTCTCCTTCCTTGCTCGATGATTTATCCTTCCCTTTGACTCCATCTTCGTCGTCTCCCTCGCTGTTATCCTCATCTTCTCCGCCCACTTCTGGTCCATTTTCCCCCTCGTTTTCTCCACCTTCCTCCTTTCCCTTCTTTCCTTCTTCCACCTCCTCTTCCTCCTCTTCTTTTTCTTCCTCTTCGTCAAATTCTTCCTCTTCATGCTCATCGTGGTCCCCATACCTCCCCTTTAAGTTGCCTTCATCGAAGAAATCGCTACTTAGGGGCACCACCCTACTGGGGGTCCTCTGTCTTTCTTCGTCGTACTCGTTTGCAGTCACATCTATGTTGTACGTCTTTTTGAAATATCCTTGGCTTGGCTGACCCCCTTCACTGGGATGGTCCTTTGGTTGGTCTCGTCCTTCCACACCATGTGGTTTCTCCCCATGTGGTGTCTCACTATGTGTTTTCTCACCAGCATGCTTTTTCTTGTCATCGTGTGCTCTTGTCCCATAGGCCACTTCTCTCCGCACGTAATCTTCATCTTCATCATCATCCAGGATGGTAAAATTCGACACAGACTGTCCTGAGAACCCGTCCTTCTGACTCGTGCAGGATGTCACCTTAGTTCCATACACAAAATTGCAATCCTCCTCCTTGGGCGATCTCCTTAATTTACAATACGGGCAAGTATAGCTTTTCTGAAACAGGCTAAGGTTTTCCCCACTGGAATGGACACAATTGGCACATACGTTGTTGTAAATATAATTCTGGTCATTCGGGTGATGCAAAATGGCCTCCGGATGCTTCACCAGAATTTCTTGAGGTGAGCTGTTCTTACTATTCACATTGCACATGCAAGTGTTAAGTGTACTAGCGGGGATACATACAACGCAGTTGTTTCCATAATTGAGGTTGATAAATTTATCCCTTGAATCACACTTTTCATATGTACCTTTGTCATAGTTTGAGCAAGGTATACAGTACATACTACCTGATGGGTAGTTGAAGTGAATTAGCGGGATGGCATAAAAGCAGCCGTCGCTAATGTGCTTGGAGCATTCTGGACAGGGTATTGCAGTCTGTCCTCCATGTTCTAAAGGTAGTGGATGATTTCTTGCTATGTCTGCCCCCTTGGAATCTTTATGACCAAATTTTCTAATTGTTATTCTTTTTAAAACATTGCTACCGCTTCTGTGTGGGCTGGACACTGTTATATGTTCCATTGGCACACTGCCCCTATCCAAATCTGCAACAGCGTCGGCTTCTACCTCGTCCTCCTTTTCTTGACCCTTGTTTAAAAATATATGATACTCGCATATATTCTTTTTTTCTTGGTCAAGGTTTTCTTTCTTCTTAAGGAACAGTTGGCCAACTTTGACAGGCGATTTGACCTGAATTGAGGTTTTATCATTTATAAAATTTTTTTTCTTCTTCACGGGAATTTTTATAGTCCTTTTAAATCTCTTGGGTTGAATATACACAGGTTCCTTAGCATGTCTACCAAGGATGATCCTATCACCCGTTTTGTTCCTCCCCTCGGAAATTCCCCCAGAGTAAGTAAAGATCCTGTTATATTCCGTGATTTCTTTTTTCATTTCATCATTGGGCTTAGAATCAGGAAGCTTGCTCATTGGGATATTCAACAGGAATTTCTTTACTTCTCCATAATTTCTATAATGATCTCGAATGAGGAAAAACATCTCCTTCTTTGAGTCTTCATATGCCTTCATTTCATGCTTTAGTGCAATATCTAGCAACTCCATATTGAAGTCAAGAACGGGCTTGTACAGATCGAGAAACTTGTTCAGCTGAATCGATTGGAAGGAGCTGCTACTTGAAGAAAAGTCATCTTGACATGAATCCTTATTTACAATGTTAATGAATAGAGGGTAATCTATTTCTTTTATGCTACTATCTGATAGGTTAATGTTTCCTGGGGCTCCAAATAAAAACTGTTCGCTCGATATGCCACACATTTTAAATTTTTTATCCAAGTAGGATTTTCTTATGGATATGCCTTCCGTAATTTTTTTAAAATTAGCCAAGTCTCTCTTGATGTATGTGTTTTCTAGTTTAAGCAAAAAGTTGCTTCTGTTTAGCTCTTTTTTGTTCTCCACATCTTGGTTGTTATTTTCCACTATGGGTAATATATTATGAAGAGCTTGCCTAATATCAATAATGACATTTGCTATTACCCGTTTCTTAGCTCCATCATCAATTTCTTTATATTTATTATCTAGTAGTTTTAAGGTAGACGCTATATTTTCCTTGGTTACTATTTCCTTGTTTTTTATTTTATTTACTAAATCATTGTCCACCTCTTGCAACAAGGTTTTGTAAGCATCCTCGGCTAAAAAGGAGAAATGCTCCACTACGTTGCTATCCTTTGGACAACTTCCAAGTAGCTTTCCTTTTTTTTTGCTGCACAGAACATCATGCGCTGCGAGGAATAGCAGGCTCAGGGAAAACAGGAGGGCCACCCTCATGTTTTGTTCTCGGAGTTTTGATCGCGGCGGCGGAGCGGCCGATTGCCGTAACGTGGTGACGCGGGGGCTGATCAATTCGGCGCGCCCTTCCGCCCTGTGAAAATATATGTCCTAACGTATGTTACAAATGTATGTAACGTAAGTGTTTATGTATGTGTTTATTTTATTTTTGCAGCGCAGAAATTAGCACAAATCGGGCGAACGACTCATGTTGCAATTATCACCTGTCTTGGGAATTTTTTTTTTTTTTTAATTTCCCCCCGTTGTACCCTTAGCTCAAATCTAATGAGTGTCGCAAAGTGGATACAATAACTGTGCACATAAAATTTTTTTTAACGTAAGAACATGTAGAGTGAGAAAATCAAATGTTACAAATGGAAGCTATACTCTTCCTCATATGACGCTGTGTAGTTTCTTATCTTCTTTTTTAAGAACATAAAAATGGGCATTCATTTTTACCATAACATTCAGCCGACAAAGAAACGGGCGAATACACATGTGTATGCATGCGCACGTAAAAGGTGTCTCCTCGAGAGCCTATACCCACTTGGCATACATGAACGTATAGCATGTGACATTTAAGCCAAACGTAAACCACTTACAATAATCGTGTGAAAAATATTTCCTGTTGCAGAGTGTTTGTATTATAATTTATCTTTTCCCTTTTTCACCCAATTAACCGAATAATTTAATACATATAGAGCATTATGTTATTTTATTATTTTTTTTTTTTACCTTACAAAATTTGGTTGTCGATTTATTCGATTGTAATTTTTCAAAAACTGCATGTCCACATGGAGCCCCAACCTGACATATGCACATACGTGGTGCATATGCCTCACATAGGCATTCAGCATGCAAATGTAGAAAAAATTAAAAGAAAAAATTGCCCTGTCCCTTAAGTAGGTCCTTAAAAAATACAAGGTTCCCTTTTCGATCCGCATATCAGAACAGAGCAAATCTCCACTAAGGTCTGTGCGTTTGAAAAAGTAGGCCACAATGCAAGAGGTGTTTATTATTTGGCCTTCCACAGGAGTCAATCGTTTAATTGGTTTGAGATGCCACGTCGATGAAGAATCAAAACATACATATATATATGTGTATATTGTTATTGCATTATTAGGGTGTTTATTTTCAGCATAAGCTTCGAAATTGACGTGGGTCAAAAGGTAACTTCTTTTTAATGTTAGTAAAACGCCTCATTATGATGATTTATGGAAGGGATTTACGGAAAGCTCATAACACGAGTTATGCACACGACAACCAGCAATTGACAACTCCACAGTTGTATTTATTTCACAATTTAGCCAAGCACATTGGTCTATTAAAAAAAAATAATAATAAAATTTCTACACATACATTTTTATCACATAAAACACGGGAATTATTGCAACAGATGCAAAAAAAAAAAAGCGAAGTTGTTGTGCCAGCTGAAGCAATGCAAAGTATTAGCATGTTGCTACATTGCAACACCTCAGTAGACGCTCCTTTTGGGAGTATTCCTCTTTAACTGATATTTTTCCCCACTTTATATGCGTGCAAGCTCAAATTTGCACATGTACGATTAAAAACTATAAGTGCCTACATGCCCGATCGAACATCGTTGTACGCAACTGTAAGAACACACTGACCTATGCGAACGTGCGTGTTGACTGCACAGATTTATGTGCTGCGCGAAGGGGGCATGTTTCAACGCAGATCTGTCCCCTTAAATTTTGCACATGAAAATTTTTGTGCATTTTTCCTTTTTTCGTTCACCAGTGAATACTTTTTTTTTTTTTTTTTTTTTTTGCGACTTACACTAACGTATTAAAGTACACTTATTGTACGTAAACAAACGTGTACGTTTTTACGGTAACAATGAGAGTTATTCTTGCGCGGAAAGGAAAAGTGAAAGAAAGCTGGAACACAGGCATTTTTTCTGCGAAACCCTATTTAAAGCAAATTCTTCGCAATTAAAAAAAAAAAGAAAAAAAAAAGTAACGTGTGTCATCATTGTTGCGATAAAGTATATTTTTGTAGCTAACATTTCGTCAAATTGAACGAGCAACATGCGTATTTATAAAAACAGCGGTAATTATGAAAGGGTTCCCTTGATCTGTGAAATTACATGTTGATAAAGTTACATGACAACAGGGTGTTCATGTCAAAATAGGAGGGAAGCCACGCGTGGGTACTCGTTGCAACTGTTTTGTATGAAGGACAAGTTGCTCCTTTTCCTGTTACACTTAAATGTTAAGCAGAATTGTTCCCCATCCATCTGATCGTCTTTAAAAATATGCACGGAAATCAAAAAAATGATGAAAAGGAAAGAAGTGGACCTAAAATATCGAGGGAGAGCTTACTAGACGACCAATTCAAAGAAGACACAAAGGATAAGCTTTTTTTACTTAATGACAAAGATGAAGCTCTGGACGAATCGCGCCACACTCCCCCAGAACAAAAAACAAAGAGGGAAAAACCGCGCTTTCACAGGGATTTAATAACCAGTTCTTCCTTAGAAAAATATAAAAGTTTTCTGGCACAGATGCAGAAATCCAACGAAAACTTAAGAAGTATGGATACAGAGAGCGTGAGGATCGACAAGGACATCCTTGATCATTCCTGTGAGAATAGCGACGACGCATGCGTTGTCATGGGTAAGCACCATATATTTATGTCACGTCCTTTTAGTTTTATGAACAAAAGACAAGCTGTATATGCATGTACATATGTATAAACTTGTATGTACATTTCCCTTCGCGACCTTATTTCCCCTCTTTCCCCGTGTAGACGTTTCTATGGGCATTTTCGACGTGTGCAACGACAACATAAGCGAGAGCAAACTTAAGGCCATGAACATTACAGTAGCGGACGTTGCGAATCAGGTAGGGAAAAAAATTCGGCCAAGACGTCCATTTTGCAAATGCTTAAAAAAAAAAGTGCACACTGTTTGGGGAAGCCCTGCACAGCTGTTCTTGTGGAATTACAACAGTGTGCGCGATTTCGTCCAATAAACAGAAATTCATAATTGTGCGTGAGGAAAAAATGGATTATTCCAAGTTTAGGAGTTTTTTTTTCGCAATAATGGCTACATTTTTTGGACAACAGTTGCTATTTTTTTTTCACATAATTGCTGTTTTTTTGACGTAATGGCTGTTTCTTTCACTTAATGGCTGTTTTTTTTTTTTTTTTTTTTTCTGAACGTTCATACAGGAACCTGAAGATCAGGGCGATCAAGGGCTAATTCAAGAGATGTAGAAAAAAAAAAAAAAAAAATATTAAGAAAAATTAGCTACAATGGCCACGAACTGTCTAGCTATTTTTCCGTCCAGAAAAAGAGAAAAAAAAAAAATTTTTGACAATGTTGAAGACAAAGGGATGAATTTGTTAGTTCTTTTTGAACTCGTTTGTTTCCGAACGTAGTTCCCATTTTTTTCCCCACCACAACAGCTAATACATATTCGATGTGAAGACCTATCCTGTTTATTTAAAAAAATTGAAGAAAACAAATTTGACTTTATTTTTTTTTTTTTTTCTGCTGCCCGTTACGTTTTTTACCTACTACCACAGTTTATTGTTATTTTTCGTAGTAACACCCTCGAGTTGCTTTATTTTCCCCTCTATTACAGAATCACAAAATATTATTTGCATTCGCGTGTGTGTATCACGTGAACTGAACACTATTTCACGTGAAATTTCTCCCCCTTTGTCACCATGGCCAAGACAAGAGCCATAATTAATGAATCGTTCATTATAATGGACAAGGACGCGGACGGGTACATAACCTTCAACGAATTAGTGTATGCCCTAAGACTCATCGGAGTGTCGAGCGATTATAACAAGCTGTATCAGAATAATAAAATCAGTTATAACTTAGAGGAGTACTGGAAGATAGCAAGGAAGGAGCTAGGGATACTAACCCCTCAAAAAAAATTAATGCGCACGTTGAAAAAGTTAGACAAAGATAACACAGGCTATCTGAGCGTGGATACAATGATTTTTTTAGTTATGAAAGTGAGCGATGTTGTAACTGATGAAGACTGCAAGAATTTTAAGAAGTGTGTAGATCCATACAATAAGAATTTTATATCCTTAGAAGAATTTACACAGAAGATGTTTTCTTGAGCCAGGTTGTGGAAACACTGTTGGGAAGGTTTATTCGTTTTGGTCGAGAAGCAGTAATCCGGTTACCCTGCCTCACGTTTGTTGCCCTTTTTTGTGTTTTTTTTTCTTATTTTATTTTATTTTGTTTTTTTTGTTAATGGAGAAGTGGTGCCACTCTATCCTTTATTTCAGACAGTTTGTTTTTCTCCCTTTAAAATGTTCCCTTTGGAGAAAAATTAAAAAAATGGGTTTAATTCCCGCGCCATCATAAATAACCGCCAGGCGTATATCAAACACACCGCATTAATTTCCCCCAACTGAACTCCACCAAAACGCTGTTAAGTTTACCTTTTTAGGTTAATTGGCCATCAAAAATGTCCTTGCAAGGTGAATAAATTGCTCACCATTTTTAGTATTCCTCGGACCAGCATGCACAGATAGGTGTGTCGATTGTTAATGGAACCTCTGAATGTGTAGTTGTACACGTTTCTATATTCTACATTAACTGCGCACCGTACGAACTGTTTTAACAAAAGTGCTCACCAATGTAAGCTACTGTTATTGTGCAACATGAGGGAAAGGAAAAAAAAAAAAATAAAACAGTTTCTACTGTCTCCGAAAATGGAAGGAAGAGAGAGGGAGTGCATGTCTCCAAACAGTAATATGTATTAAAAAAAAAGAAGTGCCCTTTATCGTATGAGAAGGAAAGTTTTTTTTCTACACCTTGTCCAGGTTGTTATTCCAATCCGCATTAGAAAAATCATTTGTGTATTACCCTTAAGTGTTTCTTCTTTTACAGGAGGGACTTTGTCAAATGCAAAGTACCATCTATCATTATATGCGGTGCTTTCGTCTCATACTGTAACATACATATTCTTTTCCCCACGTTAATCGCTCGCCTGAGGGGTTTTCCC